AAATACAACCCTGTCGCACACCAACTGTAGTCTAGAACCACTCCAAATTGCTGTTGCTTGTCAGCACTGCATTGCTGTTATTGTTGTAGAGTGATTCGATTATTGTCACCAATCCTGCGCCCATATTGTGCTTTTTCATTACTAACCATAGTGCTTCCCTCCACACCCTGTCGAACGCTTTCTTGAAATCAATGAAGTTGTGGTGTAGCTCCATTTGGTGATTACGGTATTTCTCTCCCAGAATTCTCACATTTGCAACTTGCTCGACAGTACTCCGTTCACTCCTAAATCCCGCTTGTTCCTATGCTAGAACGGCTTCCGCTCTCGTCTTCAGTCGCTTACTGATGACTTTCAGTAGAACCTTGCTTGGGTGGCTTATGAGACTAATTGTTCTGTAGTTTGTGCATTTCCTCAGATCACCTTTCTTAGCAAGTGGGATAATCAGCAATTGTGTCCTCTGCTTAGGCCAATCACCACTTTTCCATACCAAATTACAGATCTTGTGTAAAATCTGCATTGTGCAGACTCCGCCGTTTTTCAACAGTTCTGATGGTATGTTGTCGACTCCGGCCGCTTTTCCGTTCTTCAATGACCGTACCGCTTCTTCAATCTCGCTCATCATAATATCAGGTTCCTCATCTGTATCAACAGAACTCTCTTGCCCCAGCGTCTCAATGATGTTGGCGTCTGTTGAAATTGGGTAGCTATAGAGTTCCTGTACGTACTCAGTCCACCTCGTCTGTATTTTGCTCGTTTCGGTTAGTAAATTCCCATTCGCATCTTCAATTACTGACACTCTTGCTGACTTTTCGTTGGTTAGTTGTTTGACAACAGTGTACGCAATTCTAGAGTCATTCCTTTCAAAAGCTCTTTCAATTTGTTCGCATTTCCCTTGCAAGAATTCTTCCTTCGCCTTCTTTATTTCTATCTTTACCAGTCTGCTCGCTTCCTTGTATTTCCTACTACTTTCCTCATCCCTGAATTTCGTTGTCTTCAATTTCCTTCTGTCATCGCATTTATCCAGTATCTCGTCTGTCATCCATGGCTGCTTCTTCCTTCTCTCCTTGCCCAACACTTCCATAGCAACTTCATTCATCCCTTCCGTGAAACGATCTGTCATCTCTTGCAACTCTGTTAGTTCCATCAGCGGAGCAAATTTTCCCCCCAACCATGATTTGAAAATTCTCCTGTACATCCGCATCTTTCAGTTGACTTGTGTCATATTTGATTCTAGTATTCGGCGGTCTCTTTATCTTCTTCAGTTTTAGCTTGAAAGTAGTCATAACAAGGTTGTGGTCGCTACCTATATCCGCTCCTGGGAAAGATCTTGTCCTGTGACCATTTATGCCACTGAATGATCTTCTCTCGACCAAGATGTAGTCAATTTGACTCCTCGTGATACCATCCGGGGCAACCCATGTTATCCTCCTCGACTTTTTGTGTTTAAACTTGGTGTTAGCAGCTACTAAGTTGTGCAGTTTCGCAAATTCCAACAACCTGACTCCCCTTTCGTTCGTAGTTCCCAGTCCAAATTTTCCTGCTGTTCCTGGCCAATCCACATGTGCGTCCGGTCCTATTTTGGCATCCCAGTCACCCATTACGACTAATATGTCCTTTTTCGGTATCCTCTTTAGAGTTGCTTCGAGTTGGTTGTAAAACCCTTCAGTTTCTTCTTCAGTGTAGTCTGAAGTTGGAGCATACACCTGGATGATTGACAAATTCCTTGGTGCTGCATCGAGTCTGATCCGTATGATTCTGCTCGAGATTGGCTCGCATTCCAGTACGGCATTTCCACACTCTCGGTGCACAATAAACCCCACTCCATCTATCTTCTTATTGTCTCCACTCCACCACATCTTATGGCCCTCTTCAGAGACAGTTTCACCGCTATTGCTCCATCTCATCTCAGCAATTCCCACCACACTCCACATGTACTTTCCCAGCTCATACTCCAGCTCATTCAGCTTCCCTTCTGCGGACATGGTTCTCACATTCCAGATTCCGATGGAAACATCGTGTTTCGCCACTTATAGCCTTTGCTTCGCTGATACCCCGCCAGTAACATACTTCTCGCCTGACCCGCCCTGGTGGGAGCCAGCGACAGGCGCGGCCGTTGGTAACCCGGGCCCCGACCGATCCGGTATGGTAGTCAATTCTGCACTCATCATTGTGTTTCAATAGGCAATAATCTGGCGGTGCCCATCTTCTCTCCAGATGCGGATGGCCGTTGGCTCTCAAGGAGCTCATCCGCCCTTTGTCAGATCTTATTTTTCGTCTTGCGGGGTGTCCACACGCCCTCCTCACAATGTTACCATGGTAACCAGGTGGGGGAGCCGGTTTAGTCGCCGACGATCCGACAGATGCAGTTTAACGTTATGCCTAGGACAAAAAATGTATCTATTTATTTTTTTTTTTCAACAGCCATTCATTCCGCTGCAGGACATAGGCCTCTCTCAATTCAGTATTGAGAGGTTATATGGCGGTGTCAACCTTGCCTGATTGAATGCCCTTCCTAATCAACCGCGGTTCGGCGCGTTAACACTTGTGCCACGGCGGTGACTTCCCCTACGACACCTGCGTTTGACTTCTCAAGGCGATATGTCGTTTTCTCGGGCTCGAGCAAGCAGTCAGAAAGCAGGCATTTTTACGACCGCCACGACGGGGAATTGAACTCGGGACCACGAGGGTTGGAGTCCAGTGCTCTAACCACTGAGCTATCGCGGCAGTCATATATATATATGTGTGTGTGTGTGTGTGTGTGTGTGTGTGTGTGTGTGTGTGTGTGTGTGTGTGTGTGTGTGTGTGTGTGTGTGTGTGTGTGTGAAGGTGTGTGTGTGTGAAGGTGTGTGTGTGTGTGTATGTGTGTATATGTATATATATATATATACGTATATATAAATATATATGTATATATATGTGTGTGTGTGTGTGTGTGTGTGTGTGTGTGTGTGTGTGTGTGTGTGTGTGTGTGTGTGTGTGTGTGTGTGTGTGTGTGTATGTATATATATATATACGTATATATGTGTGTGTGTGTGTATATATATATATATATATATATATATATATATATATATATATATATATATATATATATATGCTTGTGGGTGTGGGTGTGTAAATTATTAACAAACAACAAGAAAAAGAGAGAGAGAGCTTAAAAATGTATCGCAGATCCCAAAAACGGTTTGACCTCGCACTCTCTATAATGCGCGGCGTTGCCATAGTAACGAGACGAGAATGTCGATATTCTATTATTGTTGACGTTATTGGTGTCTATAATGTCGCGTGTTTATTGATAATGCAACGTTAATATTAGTGAAGAAGAGACTGCCATTGTCTTCTTTTCTTTTCTTTTTCTCTATTGATTCATTTATTTATATTTTTTTTTAGAACCGTTATCCCTTAAGAATGGTAAAAAATATAATACGAATAATATTAGGAATATCAAAGAATGATGAGGAATTTCAATGTTAATGATAATAATTGGTATAACAACATAAAGAAAATATGATATTGATGATAATTAGGTTAAGGATGACAATTATTATCAATGACAAAACTTTACTTGTTATTATCATGACAAGTATTTCACTCTCCCCCCCCCCCCCCAAAAAAAAAAGGAATTCTTGTCACTAACTTTATATTACGGTTTCATGTCAGTAGTAAACACACTTTAGAACTTTTACTACTACTACTTCTACTACTACTACTACTACAATTAATAATAATAATATTAATGATAATAATAATAATAATATTTTGAATTATTTTCGTGGGATTGTCGATATCTCTTTTCTTTTTTTTCTTATTCAATTCAGATCTTGAGATTTTATTTACCAAAAGGTCGCACTTGACTTATGGATTAAGGAGAACCCAGCGTATTTAAGAAACGCAGGTGAGAGGAGTTTTATGCCTTTTTGACTGCTTGTACTTGCCATGGTTCGAGGGTGAGAGTTGCCACGAGCTTCAGTCTGGTGTTTAAAAAAAAGTGGTTCATTCTTTCCCCCTAATAAAAAAAAAAAAAAAAAAAAAAAAAAAAAAAAAAAAAAAAAATAATAATAAGAAAAAAAACTTTCTTCCTCAAAGCACTCTTTTTTTCTCCCCTAAACACACTTTTTTCCCCCAAAATACACCGTTTCATTCTTACAATGCCCCCTTTTCTTCCCCCAATACATCCTTTCCTTCCCCACAAATACCATTTTCTTTCCCCGAAACACTTTTTTTCCCTTTCTTCAAATACACATTTTTTTATCCTCCAAAATACAATAATAATAATAATAATAATAATATTGATAATAATAATAATAATAATAATAATAATGATAATAATGATAATAGTAATAATAATAATGATAATCATAATAGTAATAGAATAAAGAAAACAAAATCACGATTTTTTTCATTCATTCTTAACCCAACATGTTCCTTTTTCCTCTAACCCCCCCGCCCCCCACCGCGCTTCTTCCCCGAAATACTTTACGCTCTTAACTCCCTCTTTCAACTTCCCTCTCAACCCCACTCTCTCTCCTTCCCACTTGACCCCACTCTTCCTCCTCCCCCCCCCACTCCCACTCCCCCCCCACTCACTTCTCTCTCCCTCCCTCCACTCAACCCCATTCCCTTACCCCCCACGCAAACCCATCCTCATTTCCTCCTCTCTCCACTCAACCCCCCCCCTAATTCAACACTCCATTCAACATCCCTCTTCTTCCTCCTCCCCCCTCTCCCCCCACTCAACCCCCGCCTATTCCTCCCTCCCCCTCCTACCCCCCTCCCCCCTTCCTCCCTCCTCCCTCCCCCCCACACCCCCCTCTTCCCCCACTCCCCCTCTTCCCCCCACTCCTCCCCCCCCATACTCAACCCCCCCTTCCCCCCTCTCCCCCCACTCCACTCAATCCCCCCCATACTCAACTCCCCCTCCCCCCCACTCAACCCCCCCTCCCCCCACTCAACTCCCACTCCCCTCCACTCAACACCCCCTCCCCCCCACTCATACTCAC